TTATTGTCGTAGTTAGTTTATACCGTGTTGTTTGCTATCTTTCGATAGCTGGTGCTTTTAACGTCATCCCAGGACGATTAGGGTCATATCATGATTAAAAATATGCAATTATTGAATTTTCCCGTTAAACCTTCAATATAACAAGGTTTTATGGTAAATAATAAGATGGCCCGATGGTTTAGTGGTATAATTCTCGCTTAGGGTTTTTCTAAGCATATTTGCGAGAGGTCCCGGGTTCAATTCCCGGTTGGGCCCATCTTTTTGCCATTCAATTTTTTTCATTTGATTCTTGTCATATCAAAGATTGAGCTCATGAGATAACTGAAATTAGACCCGAATATGAGAGAATTAGTTTAAATCCAAGTTTATTTTACTGTAACATTGAGATAACATTGCGTATCTCAGAGTCTTGTAGTTGGGAGACACAACAATGTGTAGTGAGTCTGCGTCTTGTATCATAAGGGCGTAGAGAAGACAAAAACTATTTTTTGTTTAGATAAGAGACCCCAGATAGTATGGTTGTGTCATAATGCATTGCCCATCAGCAAGGTAGGCTATAAGAATTCTCCAATTATTTACAAGAGATTTTTCTTTTTTTTTTTTTTTTTTTTTGTCAATCTCTGGTATTGGGTTACCAAATGTCGTCCAATCGGGGGATGATACATTGAAAACTCCAAACTATTTATTGTAGTAATATCAGCCATCTAACTAACTATTAGAGGTATTCACTGTTCTAAATTTTTATTTTTTATGACAAAGCCAATACCAGCAAAACCAGGTGGCAATGCCTTTCACATATAGGAAAAAAAAAAAAAAAAAAAAAAAAAAAAAAAAAAAAAAAAAAAAACGTACCAAAGGGAGTTCTAGTAATTAGGCAACCGTCCCAAAAGGAAGAGAAATACAAATGCTATTTATATAGGACCAGACAGAGCCTCCATCAAACTGATTAGAACAAAACTTCTTGAGGGAAAGGAAAGAAAATATTGTCTTACCAATTGATCTAGTCAGCGAAGTAGCCATTCTTTTGGTGCAGGGGCCGCCGGTTAAGCACAGTTTGCTCATTAGACTTTGGCTGCTCACGGAGTTTTTGCTCTTGTTATTATTATTATTATTATTATTATCATTGATGTTGCCGATATTTTGCACTCCCCGCGCCCGCCCGGCCGCCGGTTCGCCCTATGAAAAATGTGCCTTAGAGTTGTTATCTTTCATCATAATCGTCATCATCATCGCTTAAAAAAGAAAGTTTAAGATATCTCGAGTGCCATTTGGAGAATAGAAAACTCTACATAAACCGGAGTAAATGTATTATGTATTTTATTTTGAATTTTTTTTTTCTTCATTTTGAAATTTCATTTGTTAGCTTTCTTTCTTCCTTTCTTCCTTTCTTCCTTCTCCTACTTGCCACATTCACATTTTTTCCCCTTTCATCTCTACCCTTCTCATACAATTGAATCATAGTCATCATGTCCTACGGATCCCAAGCTTCTGACCGTCTTGCCAACAAGACCGTGCTTATCACTGGTGCCTCCGCCGGTATCGGCGAGGCCACTGCCATTGAGCTTGCCCACGCTGTTGGCAGCAACCCTCTTAAGCTTGTTTTAGCCGCCCGCCGCGCTGATCGCCTCGAGGACCTCAAGAAGAGAATTGAAGACAAATACCCCTCGGTCAAGGTCCTCCCCGTTGCTCTTGATGTGAGCAAGCCTGCCGAAATTCCTGCTTTTGTTTCTGGTCTTCCTGCTGAATTTGCTGCCATTGATGTGCTTATCAACAATGCCGGCATGGTCCATGGCGTTGAGCGTGTGGGCGAAATTGCCCAAAGCGACATTGAAGTTATGTTTAATACCAACGTCTTGGGACTTATTGCGCTGACCCAGGCCATTGTTGTTGGCATGAAGGAGCGTGGCCGTGGTGATATTGTCAATCTTGGGTCTATTGCTGGCCGTGACCCTTACCCCGGTGGAGCCATCTACTGTGCCACCAAGGCCGCCCTGCGCTCCTTCTCGCACTCCCTGCGTAAGGAGCTTATCAACACTCGCATCCGTGTGATTGAAGTCCAGCCTGGCGCTGTTGAGACTGAGTTTAGCATTATCCGCTTCCGTGGTGATAAGAGTAAGGCTGATGCCGTTTACAAGGGAACCGAGCCCCTTGTGGCACAGGATATTGCCGAGGTCATTACTTTTAACTTGACAAGAAGAGAGAACTGCGTCATTGCTGAAACTCTTGTTTTCCCATCGCACCAGGCCTCTGCCTCCCACGTCTACCGCCAAGAGTAAAGAAGCAAAAATATAGACTTTACTATTCCGGACAGTATTTATATCATGACTTTATGTAAACTATGCCCAACAGTGCCAAAGACTACCAAATCATTCTAAAGCTTGTCTGTCTATAACCTTTAAAAGGCACAGTGTTAAAATAAATAAATAAAAACCCTCTATCAACTAATAGCAATCTCGTTATCTTGAAGGCCTAAAAAGTATTACGAGTTCGAATAGTAAATAATAATAATAATAATAATCACCATCTATCTAATAAATCAGACTTTGCGCTTGATGAAATTAAGCACAACATTATTGAATTTTCCAACATTGTCAAGGTAGACATGGTGGCCAGCCTTTGGCACCACGTGGAACTCGGCAAAGAGGTCACGGCGACCAATTCTATTCATGATATTGGCGGCCTCAAAGCCGGATGGCGCGTGCATCCAGTCATTGTCACCGTATATCCAGACGCTTGGGCACTTGAGCTTATCCTGCACGCGGGTCAGCAAGGGCATGCGTGCGAGGGCACCAGGCGCCAGGATTCGTGTAATGGCATACTCTCCCGAGGGCCGTGCACCAAAAGTTCTATAGGAGTACATATGCATTGCCTCGCGCTCTGCTTCGGGAAAGCGCCCAAACCGCCAGTAGGACCAATTAGACACTAACTTCGGCCCAAAAAAGCTCGAGTTGCGTACAAGAGCAAAAGGCGATATATGCTTGTTCCATAGGTAGGTAAAAAGCTTGCCAACGTTGCGGCGCGCGGGCTCCTGGTATTTCGATTCATCGTAGGCATTAAGGTTTGGTCCTAACTCTTCTTGTAGTTCGGGTCCCTTTTCCTTGATTTCCTCAACTTGCGAGTCCTTGCGGAACAAAGACAGGAATGAGCTCTCATCGAGATCAGGTGTGTAACCAGTCTCAACTCCAGCTGGCGAAACCATGATGAGCTTATTGACATTTTCGGGGTACTTGAACGCATATGCAGCAGCAAGGTAGCCACCCATCGAGTGGCCCATAAGTGTGAATGTTTTAATGTTTTTAGCCTGGCGCCAAGCTTCGAGTGACTCAACAAACCAATTTTCAGTCTCCTCGACGGCTTTAATAATAGTCTCAGAATTGGTGTCGGTTGTTGCCGACCCAGCCTGTCGCGTCTCGGACATTTTTGCTGTTTGAATGGTGAATTTGGGCCGCGAAGACAGACCATATCCTAGCCAGTCAAGCGCATAAATGTTCCAATCGCGTAGCCCCGCGCTAAGTCCGTCAAAGTTTTTGTAAAAGAACCCGAGACCGGCTCCATACCCGTGCATCATGACTAGCACGTTGCCATTGTCGCTGGCGTTTTGCGTGAGTGCAGGCGAGGCCTGCTCTATGGCGAACTCGTGCAAATGCAGTGGCTGGTTTGTGTGTACATACTCCTTTGCCACGGTGATTGGCACATCGTTGATGCTTGTGCGGAAGTGGTTATCAAAGTGTGCGGGGTTTGACACCAGCTGTGTCTGGTTTAGCACCATCTGTTCAGACTCCTGCTGGCTGGGACCATATAGATACTGACGAAAGGCCTCCTTGTATGTGAGAGAGGGCCGTTCCTGCTTGGTGCGGGTCGTGGACTCAGCAGCTGATGTGGTAGGAGTTACGGTAGATGTCATTAGTATTGTCGCAACAAAAAGGATTATAAAGGTAAAGGTATTAGGAGACTGAATAGTGAAAAAGTGGGATGAAAAAAGACGTTGATGATAAGAGATGATATTGGGATTATATGTAGATTACAAAACAGTTAAAGTAGATTGTAAATTACAAGGAATGGGAAAGAATAAATAGTCGTTGGAAAATGTTGGAGCCGATCCGAGTCAGATGGACAGAACGTCAGATCTAAAAAAGATAAAAGTGATAGTGCAACGGAGAATAGAATGTCCAGTCTTTGCAAGAGCACCAAAAAAGCAAGGAGAGTGTGATTCTAAGATTTTTCGTGTATTATCTGACCAAAAAACAAGCTTTTTGTATGCCGTGGCTTTTGCGCTTAAAGGCGTTAGTTACCGCCGCCAGGTTTAAGTCCGGCGGTCGTTGAGCGGAAAATGGAAAAAAGAAGAAAAAAACACCGTGTAAAGCCTAAAGCTTAAATCACATGTATACCGATGGTTTCTAAGCATCACGCCCCAAAGCTTTGAGCTAGGTCACATGGACAAGTGTTATGTCACAGGTCTCAAGCCTCATATGCCACTATCGCATGGGAGGAAAAAAAAAAAAAAAATAAGGCCGACATGCCCCTTATGGCCACATCGAAGGTCCAAAATAGTCGGAGTAGTTGACTGCTCACCAACCCGCCGCTAGCTTCTGATGTGAAAAGAGCTAAAAATAAAATAAAAAAATAGGTAATAATAAATGCAGAAAGATCGTGGATATGCACAGGGAATTGAACGATGATAATGATAATAGTAATAATAAAAAAGTAGAAATGCTGGTAATTTCGCTGCATTTCCTTTCTTAACGCAAGTAGGTGAAATCGATTTCCCCCTCTCTCAGAGAGCCCATATTTTCAATGGACGCTCGGGAGCAAGTGCAATGATAAGCCTGACGCATTCCACACGAACAAGTTTGCGTTGGCACCATAAGATTTTCGCAAGTAGCACGGGAACAGGTACACTGGCGTGCTGGGCGGGCGCCGCAAGAACAGCGGGCCTCCTGGGCACAGAGACATAAATCTGAATGTATTAGAGAGACTTTTGAACATTTAGTAGCTTTAGATTTGGACAAGGTAGATGATGATGACGAGGCGGTTGGTTTGGAAGAGCCCGAATTGGCCGACTTGAGTGGTCGGTTGCAACAATTAGCTGAGCTCATGGTTGGTTTGCGTGAATATGAGTATACGTGAGCGACGGAGCGGGGATATTGCGGTTGGATCGTAAGCAAAATTGACAAAAATTTACTGGATCGACAAAAGAGCAGAAAATAAAAGACAGAAGACCAACACAACGGCGAAAGATAGAAGTCAAACGAAAT